CAGCAGCAGCAGCAGCAGCATCCTCATCATCCTCATCATCCACATCATCATCATCATCATCATCATCATCATCATCATCATCATCATCATCATCATCATCATCTTCAAGAACACAAGACACCACCCCAAATGCTTCCACATTGCATGTGTTAGCCTGCTTGCCATAACCGACTCCGAGCGCTGGATGTCATTTTGCAAAACAAGCCACCTTACTTTAATTTGAACACATTATATTTGACGTCGAACCGGAAGCAAATCAGAACAAAATGTTTGATGTCTAGATGACATTTCCTTTTACAAAGATTTGACATACTCGAATAAATGTGTATTCCAAGTAAGGTCAAGTTAATTTTTTAAAATACTTATGTTTACAACAACATTAAACTGGGTGTGCTTTTTTTTCCTCTACAGGTTGTACCTTATGCCCGACGAGCGCCGCTACCTTCAGTCCAAGTGCCGGAAGAAGACTTGCAATCCCAAGTTTGAAGAAACCTACGTTTTTCAGGTGAGATTTCATGTTCCCTAGTTCTTGTTGTCAACTGGCTTGAATGAGTCAAAGACGGTTTTATCTCTACGCCGCAAAGCTTTAGATTTATAACTGATTTTTTTTGTTTGTTCTAATACTTTGCAACTTTCCTTTCGATATCCCCTATCTTTTAGACTGGATGCTTGACTTTAAACTCCTTAGGTAACAGCCCATAGGAACCGCATGATACCTTAATCTAAGAACTCTTCCTCTTTGTCTCATGGAAGTAAACAAGTATTAGATAGTAAGTCTTTAATGAAGATGAGTCAGTTAAAAAGGGTTCCGAGAGATTGTAGCTTCTGCTGTGGCCAATGAGAGCAACTCTCAACCAAACCCGGGCTTAATATTGTTTGAGTTTTCGTTCCAGCCAAAGTTCTCCTCATGTCAAAGTCCCTATTAGGCTGAGGGTCATGTCCACCCACCAAAGCCGATATCTCCAACAAAATTATAAGTAGAACCCAGAGCTGTAGGCAGGACTTGCGTCATCCCCGAGGGGTTAAGTCTATACTTAATTGCATCACGGGAGATCAATGAGGTAGACACATAATGCATTGCTAGTTAGCCCCCTTGTTTTCTCCAGACCCATTAGCTGTGGCCTCCTGGGATCGGATAGTCAAGACATCCGGTCTGGCTTTCCGCAGACGCTCAATACGAGATGGGACTTTTATTATAAAAAACTATAAGAGCTATTTGTAGCCTCAACTGGGGTGTCAAGAGATCAAAAGACTGTTGGGTGTTATAAACACGAGCAAACAAACAAACAAACATACACACAGACACACACACACAAGCACAAACACACAGGCACAAAGGTTCACACATACACACTTACACACATACTTACATACAAACACACTCAATCACACACAAGCATGCACAAACACACACACACACACACACACACACACACACACACACACACACACACACACACACACACACACACACACATAATATACAATGTATAAATAAATATTACATTATACTATAGTCGAATTTGTTGTAGCGACCACCTGCCCAAACCAATCACCGTATAATAAACAACGACTTCATTCCAACTGACCCCACAATGCGTTTTTAAAAATAATATTAAAATAATATCGTTGTAACGACACTGTACAAGAGCACCACTTGTATAGGCCGACCTTTGACCTCCTCGACAACGGACGGTCGTCTTGGACAGGTTCGACTGTAGATTATCTATACATGATACAGTATTATATTTGTGAAAGTCCGTTCCTTTGTCGCCTTAACTTCCCAACCGCGTTAACTTTCGAATTTGAAAAAAAATATAGACGGTTCAGAATCATTTAAAGGGTGCACAGTTTTACTGAGGAGTCTGAAGTCACTGTGGTTTAATTTTCAGTTTTTCATTAGTTTCGTTTAGATCAAATCTTGGGAAAGTCCGTTTTCTAAGACGCCATTGTAAACAAGTGAGGCTTCCTTCACAAAGAGTGTGTGCACTGATCGCACAATGACTTGACGATTGATTCTTCTGAGTCCGTTCGTCGAACGGGAAACCCAGCTATCCGAACCACTTAACTTTCGAATTTGACAAAATAAATGAGGGTTCAGAATCATTTAAAATGTGCACATTTTCACTGATGAGCCTGAAGTCACTGTAGTTTAATTTTCAGTTTTTCATTAGTCTTCTAAGACGCCATTGTAAACAAGTGAGGTTTCCCTTCACTGGTCGCTCAAACGTATTCCACACCTTTGAAATGATGAAGTGTACAACCACGAAAGCGGAATAGAGAATCAATTTATAGGCCTTCATCTATTATATTATTAGATTTGGCAACTTGGAAACGCGTGTGTCACTTTTCTCTCAAGATTTATTGCTCCATTCCAGTATAGAGTGTAAATATAGTAGGCCAATTTCTTTCAGTTGATGTTAATGCAGCGATCATTCCTTTCATCGAAAGGGGGCCCAGCTAGTGTATAATAATACTGTACAATACTATGCTTCAGAAGCAAGATTTTTACACATATATTTAATGTAGACAACTTTAGGGGCTGTTCGGATTGTGTGTAATGCATATATACTGCATATATATACTTCCCGAGAAGCTGAGAATGTTTCTAAGTGTTTTAAGGTCTGCTGGGGTAATAATAATATTAGATCTATAGTAAAGTGTAAAGCACATAGAGCTTGCTTTTATTGTTATTATTTATATCATGTTCGAGCTATCCGTGTTATAATGTATATTCCCTTTTGCGAGGAAGACGAAGAACCCGACCATTCCATGACGGACAGCAGTCACCGAAATCCATTTATGTACTTAAGTGATAGGACTTATGGTACTTTCAAATGTTTGTCTCTGCATACGTTCGTATATATATATATATTCCTCTTTAGATTTAAAAAAAAATCTTATCCACTAGACCAAGAGCTTTTTTCGTATCTTCTTCGTTCTTTTATTTAGCCAACAGACACGTCTATAATAAACCCCATCTGCTCAACATATAGCTTAGTTTTCTTCGCGTAAAAGTCCACTTGAACCCTCTCCACTACCCATTGTTAAAATGCATTTATTTAAAAGACAAAAGCATCTTTCGCCAATGACGTCACGATGACCTATAGGCTATAGGTAACCCCACGCAGAGTAGAGGCCCACATGTGCTCAATGGGGCAAGTAAGTTTCGAATGGAGGACTCAAGTAGACTTTTAGCTTTTTTGTGTATCCTTTGCCGTCTTTTTTTTTTTACCTGCTTGATCCCTACCATTTCGAGTCCGCGGTGTTCCACTCATCATACTCATACACTGAAAGAAAAAAAAACTTTTATATTTCAGGGTCGAGGCAGCAAAGCCTGGTAATCGCTGGGGCTGATGACGAGCAGAGACAAGTAATTACAGTTCTTGTGAAAATACGAGTAGCCTAAGCTTATATTAATAAATTATGCAATTATATTTCTCCTAGCTAATGTTGTGTTTCTCTTAGTCTTGCCCAACGTTACTCTACTCTAGCATTTTATAATGTATTATCACAAGAGCTTATTGTGAAAAAAAATTGACTCGAAGTTAAGAGTAGATCTATCTTATTTTCTACATGAAGGAATAAAAGAAATATTGTCATACCAGTGCTTTCAGTCTTTGTCTCTTCGATTGACTCAAGGAAGGCCCTGATTCCACACACACACACA